ATCTACTGATAGGTTTATTTGGTGAAGAGAGATTGCCCAGAAAAATGGAGGAACAATCTGAAATGCTTTGAGATAAACATATAATTCAGCTGGTAGGCGGCATGATACTGTGAGTCATAAGCAACTCACCTCAGAATTTTCTTTCCCTAAGTTTATATTCATTGTGAAAAAATGCTAGTTTTAACAAGTACAGGGAGAAATGTTCAGATTCTTCATGCCAACTCCCCCGAGGTACTTTCTTCACTTACTGTTTTATCTCCCTATCCAAGTGGATGATACACCTTTATCTGAGCTGTATCATTTTAGACTGCTAGGAAAGGCTCATATGAATGAATCTTCTTCTACCTTATCAATTAAAAATGAAATCCATCTTCATAGCAAGGAAGAATAGTGAAAAAGAAAAGTAGTTGTACTCCTTATGCTTGATGTATAGTGTTTAGTTTGGGGTTTGTTTTTGTTTTTTTAATGGGGGAATTTTTTCACCTGGAGGAAGTCCATATGCCACTTTAATGTAAGAAACAGGTCTTATTCATTTGAGTCCCTTCATATCCCATCTTTTTCTTCAAGAATGCAAAGCAGCTTACATAGGGTTCCTAGTAGAGATGGATAATTTAATTTATGTTTTTTTTTTAAAAAAAGAGAGAATTCATTTAAAATGTAACATCTTCTCAATATATGGGAGGCAAAGAATTTGAGATTTTAATTCATATGTGCAAGAAACTGAAGCAGACTGATTTGTCTGACTAGGCAGACAACTTTGAGAACTTTAAAACTCTTCAAATTCTGGGTTTGATTCATTTGCACATACAGGTCCTGAATAAGGGTTGCCATCTTTAACACCTATATGGCAGACAGGTATAACTGATCTTCCCCATGCTTTTTGTATTTGAGAGAAGGGACATCGATCATAACTCTAGGTTCAAGTGGAAATGATTACATGCTGAATTTACTAATTAGTTCCACCAACAGCTCTAGAGAGTGAAACTACTGTATATAATATGATGTCCATGGGCTTTGACTCCAGTTGCTAATTCTGGCTAGAGGTTCGGAAGAACTGTAGAAATTTGTAAGTCTAGGTTGGGCAGCTTTACATGGTGCTGGAAATCAAATTCTTCCAGATTGCTACTTGGTAATATATTGGGCGAAGCATGGCCATGGCTTCAGTTGAAAGAACTGAAGCTGGTTCATACTCAATCGTGTTGTTGTTCCTGACACACTTATCTTTGTCACAATACTGGCTTCTCCTTTGTTTGGTGCTGCAGCAGCCGTTACACCTCCAAGGATCCTTTGTGCTGTTCTCTGTGTCTACCTATGTTGTAATTTGTTTGTTAGTTTCCTGTGGAAATGTTAGTTAGCCTCCACTATGAAACCACGTGCAGCTAACTTGAGAGACTTGATGCCATGTTGAGATTACCACATTTATTTTTTTTATTCTTCCCCTCACATGCTTTGAATCTTGGCTCAGTGAAGTTTCAGAAAGAGGAGTGGCTATTAGCCCTCTATAAAGAACACAACAAAACCCTTTTAGTTCTTAATGGCTGAATTAAGTAAATAAGTCAGGTATTCTTCACTTACCTTTATGGCTTCAGCGTGGACTTTGGAATCCTCCTTGCCTACTGAAGGACAGAATGTGTTTTTTCTCAAAAATGCCACCGTTCTCTTGTTTCCTAGTGATTTCTGCCTATTTGGAAGATAGGGGCTCATTGAACTCTTGTGTAGCGTTGGGTAGGCAATATCTGAGGGGAACCCTTTTTGGAGGGTTGGAGGGCTGTGCCCCACTTCCAACTCTCTCACACCCCACACTCAAAAATGTTTATACTTCAAATTATGTGTAGTAAACATGCCCCCTCCCCCAGTCTCTATTCCAGTTTCCAGAAAAGGCTCTTCAAGGCCTAAAACAGCCCTCCTCCAGGAAAGGTCATCTTTGTATGATGAATGGTACTTCTGGGAGATACAATTTATGGCTGGATTGTTGTGTGAGGGTGTGTGTGGGGATACAAATAGCCATGGGGGTCACTTGCAATGGGGGGACACACTTCCCTCTGCTACCTCAGTGTTGAGCAATGAGATAGATTGATCAGAACATCAAACTCTCTTGTTAGATTCATCTCTGCAGTCCAACATACGTGAAGATGATCAAAACAGGATCCTTTCATTCTCTAGTCCTCTATTGTAATTGAAGTTGTCTTTTTAAAAAAGTTTATTTTATTTGAACATGGGGCAAATACCTTCCTAACATATTTTAACATATGTTTTATGCAAAAGAGAAGTGTCTCTGGAAAGAAAGGGGAGGCTGGAATTACTGCAACATTAATGTTACATATTAAATATGCAACATAATTCATTAAAGAAAAAACATAAGGAATTACTACAGTAAATGTCAGTGACATAGAACAATACTGCAAAATAAGATGTCTCCCATATAAGGTATACAACATAATACAGTAATACAAAGCATGGTTAATCATATATTATAGCTTAATTGGACACATTAATGTTTATAAATCTTTTGCTCAGCATTCAGTATCCCACAGAGGACCAAAAAAGAAAAAAGAAAGAAAAAAAGAAAAAGAAAGAATGGTGCCAAGTTTAACAAACTATGTCAACAGTCTCAGTAGACTGAGTTCACCTTACCCCACACAGCTGCTGAGAGAATGAAGTTCAGAGAATCTGGAAAACAGCTGTTAGTATCAGCAAACACCTTGCTTTCCTGTTGTCTGTATAAGTGATAGGCAGTGGTGATTTAGTATCTGAAGTACTGAATATTTATTAGCAGAAAACAATTAGATTTTATCTGGAGAATGTGTTCATCATATAAATGTTGTGGCATTGTAGCCATGCAAACAGAAGAAAGGATCATTTACTTCAGCATTGACCTTAGTAGCACTTATAGTAAAATCACATCTCTGTAGCCAGTATTGAAAAGCCACATAAGAATTTTTGAACTTTCTCTTTTGTAACTACACTTCCCATGGTGATCCATTTATTGAAGATATGAATTTGATTATTCCTTTACTTAAGGCAGAAAAAAAACATAAAAAAATCAGTCCAGTCTCACCAGACAACCTTCCTGATTTGCACACAACACTAGCACTTCATATGTTAAACATCACTCTAGAAACATTTACAGTGGGGAGAAAGGTATCCAGAGGTTCTGTATAGGGGAGGTTTCTAGCCCTGTCCACCCACCTTCAAGTGGAGGGTGATCAATCTGAAAAGGAGAGCCTCCACTGTTCATTAGGTAGCTCTGCACGAGTGAGAAGCCTATGTCAGGATTCCGATGCTTCTGGCAAGAATACACGGATAGCAGAAGGTCTCTGCTCCACACCTGTAACCTCCATGTGACAAGTCTGAAATGAGGATCAGACAGGAGGTGGCAGGAGGTGACAGTGGAGGGGAGGTGCTAGAGTCCTACTCTTTCCCTGGGGGGTTCCTACACAGACTGTAATTATTAAACAGAGCTCTGGTCAGACAGATGTCCAGGAGATGATATTCCAGACGCCAATGCAGGTAATTGAGTCTGGGAAGTCCCTTGTTCAATCTGTGCTTTTACAAGAAGTTTATCAGATATCTGAGGACTCTCAGCTGAGCATGTCAAGTTACAATGCATGCCGAATGGGACAGGAAAGATTTTTTTTCCTTTCTTGCTTCTTATTGTGATTGAGGATCCATTGAGTTACCATACAGGACTGAGAGGTGCACCAGTTTAGTTTAATGTTGGGCAATACCGACAGGATTGGGGAATGTTTTTCAGGTTACCTGATTGCTTGTGGGGAATCCCTCTATGAAGCAGCTGTGTCCCAAGCAAAAGTAAAAACTGGAAGTGTTTTTATCATAATTCGTTACATTACATTACAGCAACAGAGTTACTCCAATAGGATTCAATATAACATTGTTGGAGGACTGAGAGTCCCGCAAATGACAGAGACATGGCAAAGGAACGATCAGAGTGTATGTCACAATACAGTGGTGCCCTGCTTGACGATTACTTCTTTAGACAACGAAATCACTTGACGATGAGTATTTTTGCGATTGCTATAGTGATAGCAAAACACTGTTTGTATGGGGAAAATCCACTTGACGACGATCGGTTCTCTGCTTCGGGAACCGATTTTTCACTAAACGACAATCTAAAAACAGCTGATTGGTGGCTCTCAAAATGGCTCCCCGCAGTTTTGCTGACCTCATTTCACAAGACAGGGAGCGGAAAATGGATGCCGTATAGAGGATTTTCGCTGCACGAGCAGGTATTTCCCTCACTGGAACGCATTGACCAGTTTTCAATGCATTCCAATGGAGTTTTTTTTTTCACTTGACGATGATTTCGTACAGCGATTTTGCTGGAATGGATTATCATCGTCAAGTGGGGCACCACTGTACTTTGAATTTGCAGATATCTTGCAGTGACATGAACTAGACTGAAATATAAACCATCAACAGGCATTACAGCTGATCCAGCAAACCCATTCCAATTAATTAGAGAGGAAGCAATTAATTAAATGTCTCAAACAGCAGACTACAGTGATGCTGGCAGGCTGCTGTTGAATTTAGGTGATATACCTCAATGCCAATTTTCAGTTGTGGGTCAATTTTAGTGCGAAGTCTTTTTAATTCATTTTATTAGTACTGGCTGCTGGGGATGGGGAAGGCTTCAGGTGTTACATGCAGTCCATGAGTTACCGATCGCCTGTCCCTGATTTACAAAATTACAAGGAGTGTGGTCAGACATCTGAAAAAACACATACTTGATCACACTGGAAAGGATTACTGCAACAGGAGATGTGATCCTTCTGTCTGCCAAGGAACTGCTCCAAAATATAATAGCCCTATAGCTGGACTGGAAAGGTCCAGTTTGGGCACAGATCAGGGTTGCGTTGGACCACATTTTCCTGCACATTGTATCATTGCTGGGAAATAGATTGCACAAATGGAACTTCAGTGAAATCTATTTTCCTCTGTGATCACACCCACAGACAAGTCAATCTGAGGGTTCTGGAACACATTCCGGGAGTTTAGATCCTGACAGATGGGACACGGAGAGTACACGGAGCAGTCTTTGTATGACAGGGTTGTGTGAGAAAGGTAACGTAGGCAGGTAAGAAAATAGATTAGTACTCCGATGTACCTTTAAGATGATGAAGGATTCTTGGCACTTGCTACTCCTGGGTGTGGGACCTAGAGTGAGAGCATGAAGCTACTTTGGGAAGAACATATATCACATTTACCCCAGCTGGACTTAATGAGGGGCTGGCCCCTGTGGCCACCCTGTCCACTCATGCATCCAGTGATGGTGGCAGCCTCGCTCATCCTTCCAATCACTCCTGGAGCAACACTTTCTTCCTGCTTACCTGGCCACTCCAGGCAGTGGGAAGGAGGACAAGTCTCCCTGGATGGCTGCTGAGTCGCAAGCCGAGCGGGAAGAGAGTGGAGCTCCGGGAGCGATTGGAAGGATGAGTAAGGTTGCCACTGGAGCCAGACATGTGAGTGGATGGGCCAGCTGCAGGGGCTGGCCCCTCGTTAAGTCCAGCTGTGTGGGAATATTTGTATTTGTATACGAATACCCCCATCTCTAGTTATGATGATTGTGGATTGTGTTCTGTTAAATTAAGTGGCCCTATTTAGTCCCAGTTAGCATGGTTCCCATTTCCTTGTTCCTGATCTGGTTGCAAAAGCACATTCCCTCTTTGCTCAAAACCCAGAAGCATGGAAAGAAGATGGGCGGGCGGGCAGATGGCTCATGTGTTCCACTATTCCTGCTTTTCCTCAGCATGACAGAAAAACAAAGGTTTTAAGGTTGGATATACCAGAAAAACTGAGTTTTTCATTTCTCTTTATGCTCACTTTGCCTATAGGCTAACCTTATGTTTCTTTAAGCATTTATGTTCTCTGTGATAACATTTATATTTATTCAAATCATTAAATATGTTTTGTTTCCTCAGGCCAAACTCTCCAGACAGTTCTACTAGTGCTGGTGCATTGGTTTTGAAAGAGTGTGCAGTCCACAACTATATTTATGTTGGTTATGGTTGGAGGAAAAAAGAGAGTGGGGAAAAATTGTAGGTAAACTGTAAATATTTAGTCTTTTTATTGATGCTGTTAACATCCCTTTGCTTCATTTGCATATCACAGATGTATAATTCATTTAATACTTCCGTTAATAACTGGCCACACTGTTTATACTAAGTCTTTAAATTCTGGCTTCTAAATGCTAACTTTTACGGCATTACAATGAGAAAGTGTAGGGAATTCTATTCTGTGATCTGTATTATGTTTTGCATTTGCTTTTATCCTTGCAAGTGTTCTGTTTTGTTCTCCTCACTTTTCAATTTTTCAAAATCAATCTTTTTTTTTTCTAATCCTTGTCCACCAATTTAAATACAGTGGTGCCTTGATTTACAAATGCCCTGACCTACGAACAATTTGATTTACGAACAGCTCCGGCCGCAAAATTTTGCTTTTACTTGTGGCCGGAGCTTTGACTTACGAACGGGAAAAGGCGGGAAATTCAAACTATTGGTGGTGAAGAGGCTGCTTCTTTGTAGCTCTTTCGCCCCTACGGTTAGAGCAGGCAGTTAGGGATTTTTTTTTTTTACTTCTGCCGAGCAGGAGGAAGGAGAGGTGGGGCGTCTTCGGATTGCCGCCAGCCCTGTGAAGCCAGTGTGCTCCCTGCCCAGCCCTGGTGCGGGTATACTCGGGAGTAAGGGCCACCAAAGTCGGGCCAGAGGGGCTCTGTGGGCAGGGTGTGCGGCAGCGGTGCAGGAGGAGGAAGGAGAAGCAGCCGGGTGCTGGTGCTTTGGAAGCCCGGGAAGCCTCCGCAGAGGCTTTGGACTGGTAAGGGGTTTTTCCTTTAAAAAAAGTTGTTCTGGGTGGGTTTTGGAGGGTAGGTTTGGGCTGGGGGGGTTACGTTTCTTTTTTTCTTTTTCTTTTTTTGCAATCCCAGCGTGGGACTTGCTCCAATGTTTATTTTTGGATTTGTTTGTTTTTTGCTTTTGTTTCTTGGCAGTCCCAGTGTGGAACTTGCAGTGTTTTATTTTTTATTTTTATGTTTATTTTTTGTATTTTTTTTTCTTCAGGCGGCACGGATTAATCAGTTTTCAATGCATTCCTATGGGAAATGGTGCTTTGATTTACGAACGTTTTGACTTACGGCCACTGTTCCAATACAGAAGTTCGTCAGTCAAGGCACCACTGTACTAACTTTGCTTCCTCAGAAACAATGCCAGATAGTAAATATTAGGGGGGACACTGTGTATATTCATGTGCTCCTTATGCACTCAATTCCCCCAACAGTTTCGCTGGCTACCAACTTATATCCAGGCACAGATCAACTTGCTGGTTATGACCTAAAAACCCCTATATCATTTGGATTTAGATCATCTGAAAGACCATATACCCGATGAAAAATATGCCCACACTTTAAGATCTGTAGGAGAGACAATTTTCACGAGATGCCCATCTGGTGGGGATTCAAGAGAGGGCTTCTCGGTGGGGGCTCTAGAACTCCTTAGCAAAAGAGGCTAAATTTGCACACTCCGTGCTCTCCTCCAAGTGAGAGATGAAGACTTTTTTTTAAATTTAAGCAGTCCTTTGACAATGAAGAGCCTCCAGCTGTCCTGAAGATGTGCTGGTTCTCCTTGTTCTAATTAGAGGTTTAATTGTGTTTTAATCATTAATGAATTTAATTCTAGTTGCTTGTTTGTAATTTTATTGCATTTTAATCTGCTATTATTTTAAATAGTATGGTCCTTGTGTCCATGTGTCCAGTTTTGGGTGAAAGTCAGCAAATAAGCAAACACTAGAGATGGGGGCATTCTTAGATGAATTTGAATATCTCACTGCAGGTGGAAATAATGAGGGTCCAGCCCGATGGAGGTGGACCATCCACTCACCGTTCGGCTACTGCCATGGGCGCAGCAGTGTCTTCCTATTTTGCTGTGCTCCACAATGGATTAGCCATTCCTGGCTGGAGGCAGGATGACAAACCAATCTGCCAGGTCGCACAGTGGCTAATCCACCCCCATTGCTAGCAAACACATATAACTAGTGTGAGAGCTTATCACTTACTATAGATAGATGATATCACCTTGTACATGCCTCTTTTCAGAACGCATTCCTGTAAGGGAGATATGAACTGTGGAAGTTGTGAATCTTAACATAGACTGCACTCATGAAGTCACATTATCTCAGAACCACTCAACAGGGTAATTTTATCAGACACACAAGGATCAAAAAGCACAAAACGGCTGCAAGTACAGCTGCATAAATGGCAAACAATAAGGAAGCACCAATAAAGTACATAAGTAATCCTGGGAAATATTAAATGAGAGGAGGCAAATTCGCAAGGGTGATTGAGGCTGCTCTTGGAATGCCTAGGTAAACTACGGGTTTCAGGACGCAAGACCCCCAAGACCCGCTGGGATAAAGCCAACCAGGACACAGACAAAGTAAAAGCAACAGAGAGTCTTTCCTTTATTAGAAGTAGTTGGTTGCAACTCATCTTACACTCCAGAAGATCCAAGTCTTTACATGGGTAAGAGGAGAGAGAAAGAGAGAGGACCTCCTCGGGTCTCCTGGACTGTCCTATGCTGCTTCTGATCTGTGCTGACCTTCCTTCAAACTTAGATTGCTATTCTTAGGGATGCTGTTGTCATTTTCTTCCTTCTCACACCTCTTTCTTGTCTCTCCAAGGAGGAAACAACTTGCTTTTGTTCTCTAGAGATGAAAGGGGCATTCATGGATCCTGACATCTCCAGCTCAGTCAGCTGGAACCAGGACTTCTATCATTTTCTCTGTCTCAAGTGTATTTCTGTAATAAACACACACTTTTCTCAGAAAAAAGTGTGGACGTGATTCCTTTACAAAGGAAGTGTATTTAATAATCATTCCAAGTCTCAAAAGGGTTGAATCTACAACACAACATAGCTCCAGTGCCACTGCATGTGAGTTCTACAACACCCTTAAACTCTCTACACATCAAAGAAAATGAGGGACATAAATTGGGGAGCAACTATTGTGCAGAAAATATATTCCCAAAATATTTAGGGAGGACAGAAATGACCTGTCCCTCATTTTGTTTTGAAGAAAAGCTGGAGGGGGATATTGTAATTCCAGTTGGAGCAATGCAAAGAAAAGGAGACTTTGGATGCAGGCTTCAAGCCTTCAGTGAATTCATCTCAGAAGGTAGGGTTCAGGCCCTGTACATGCAGGAGGCCTTCAGGAGTGAGAGGCAGGAAGCTTCAGGATGAAAGGGAAACAGGAAACAGGCCCAGTATGGCCATCTTATGGGATGCCCTGTTCATGGAACAGCTACTGAAGCTGTGCCTCCCAGCTTCTCATTCTCATCTGATCTTCTTTCAGGTTTGCACAGTTGGTTAATCCTTTTAGAAGCTTCTATTTTGCTGAGAGGCAGGAATGTATGAAAGGGCAATGGAATAACTAAGTTTTCCAGAAGGCTATTATAGACATTTTTTGTTTAAGGAAAACACTGAGCATCCTAGATAAATTGTTTTCCTGACTTGCAAGAGGATTATGGACGTAACAAAAACAAGGTGATGATTCTCATGGCAACATGCATCCCATGTAATACAGGATCTCTACACCTGTGTTCTGAGACTCTTTGCCTCATCTATTCAGTTCTATACCTATATACAGAGCAACTTTTTAAAGCTGGTACTGTATACTTGTATAATTTCCATTCTAGATTCAGGTAAGGAGCCAGAAATGGACTTCCTTTCAGTTTCAGTCTTTAACCCTTTCAGTTAAAGCAGATGTTCTGTACCTTTAAAAATACACACATCTTGCAGGGATGTTGTACAAATCTTAGCTATTTGTAATAGGGCTGAAAAGCTTATCAGCCTCCTGATTATTATCACCTGACATATCTCTGTTTGCTACAAGCAGTAGGACTTTGTAGAACAAGAACTGTGATAAAAAATGATGCAGTTATCTTGATGCTGTGAAGGGAGCTGGATGTTTTCTGAGATGGCAGAGTAATTACCAATTCAGTCAGAAGTACAGCAACATTGGGAGTCTGGGTAACTCTACTTTAACCTCACTGCATTATTAGAACAGATGTGACTCTAATAGGTACACCACATCAAGAGGTTTAAGGAACGATACACGAAAGGTATCTATGTATATTTTTTTATTTTGCTTTGCTTTCCCATCTAAAATCTCCTAAACTGTAAGAGCCAGAAAGATGGGCTTTTGCATGGATCCTGCTAAAGTCCTGTATTAAAGAACTAGGTATGTTATATCTCAACTGGCCATACTAGATGGAGGTTGTGGGAGTTGTCAACCTATAACGGAAACAGTGAGAGCTAGAAACATTAAAACGCCATTTGGAGAATACCAATTTAAATTACTTGATGGGTTAAGTCACTACTAGATTTTTCAGTAGGGGATTCTGGGAGTTGTAGTCCTCTTATAGAAATGGTCAGAGCTAGAAAAATGACATTTTCAACTGATATTGCTGAATACCCAAGAAGACAAACAAGATAGGCTATGCATTGATTAGCCATGCTACTTGTAGGATTCTGAAAGTAGTCTAAAGAATTTACTTGGGGGATTCTGGGACTTGTCATTTTATACTGAAAGATAACAGAAATTGTAATTTTTTTGAAAAACAAATTGCATGGGCAGTACTGATATTCCCCCTGAAATAACTGGCTATGTACCTGTCATGCAGCTTTGGAGATTCTGGAACTTGTAGTCCTCTTACCAAATTGCAATATTCGGAGCAAGAAATTTTGCATGGATAGTAGAGATTTTCAAATTTAAATAAGTGGATAGGTTAGATTTTGACTGGCCATGCTGAGAGCTGTAACCCAGAGAAGATATACAAGGGATTCCAGAATCTGTTGCCCCCTTACCATGAAACATCTCCAAAATGGTAAGAACTAGAAACGTAAACTTTTGCAGGGATACATCTGAAATCTCACTATAAATAACTGGATAGGTTATTTGTATTTTCTGGGAGCTGTAGATCTGTCATTGAAAATGTCATGGCCAGAAACAAGAAATGGTCCATGCTATTCCTGATTTTCCAACTTAAATAATAGGATAAGATAGATCTCAACTGGCCATGCTGCCGGGACGATTCTGTGGATTGTAGTCTTTTTACCAAAATGAGGAACACAAAATGTTGTGTGAATTCTATTGATGTTCCACTTAAATAACTAGATGGGTTGGCTGGGCAAGGTGGCCAAGGCATTTGGGGAATTGTAGTTCAAAGAATAGGAATATGGGAGTTTTACTGCCAAGGAGTCATATTGGACCCCATTACTCTGGGCTGAGGACTAGGCTGGGTACTGGGGGGAAGGAGAAGAAAGACTAAATGATAAGCAAGGGCAAGAAGAGGGATAGGATGCCCTAGACAGTGTGGGATGGATGTGTTTCTCTACCTGTGGGATAAACTGAATGCTTATCAGGATGAAAAGAGGGGGTGGGATTTGGGGATAGGAAAGAAGAGAGATGTTTCTAGTCTGAGTGGGATTCTTTTTTCCTCCCCCATGAGTGAAATAAAAATTCATGTTATTATTAAATGTCACGATCTTCCTTTTTCTGTATAGGTAGAATTGAGAGGTTGTCCAAACAATAGGCAGAATTATGACCGTTTTATTCTAACAGCCACAAAGCTAATTTTCAAAATACAGTATGAGAACACTGTGAATTAGCATCAAAGCACTTGTAAGCAATGTGTTAGGTATCCAGCTGTGGAGCCAAAGTTTCAAAATTGTGCAGCTCAGAAGAAGAGCCAGCCTG